AAACATATTTTAAATTGGGGGGGGGGCTTGTGTATAGTTTATCTTGCTCTCATTTCTGTTATTTTAATCTTTTTTACTCAGTTCTCATCAGCTTTACTGCTTTATCCCCTGTATTCACACTTATCTTGGCCGCACAATCCACCTTTTCTCCCTTGCCTATGAAAATATACAATATGCAATCATTTCTCTTTACATTTGTGTCATGGTGTACCCTAAAGAAAAAAGTTTATAATCCAGATTGCTCTGTGCCTTGCCTCTTTATGGAGCTCAGGAGCTGTTCTTGAAAGAAGAGAGGCCGCTGAATGAAGAACAAAATCTTGCATCAACTCTTTACCTGACAGCCTTTGCACTGATTTGTTACTTTTCTATCTCTTTCTTTGTTTATTCACTTTTCATTTCACATTCACATACTCCCATGTTACTTTTGCTCCAGGAACACAGAAATCAGAACATCAATTTTGGAAGCCCCACGTAGGGTACATTGACTCTCTCACTAATGTCTCAGGGTGTCTCTCCCTTTTCACAGAATCACAGAATTACAGATTGGCCAAGGTTGGGAGGGACCTCTGGAGATCATCTAGTCCAACCTCCCTGCTCCAGCAGGCTCCTCTAGAGCATATTGCCCAGGATCACATCCAGACGGCTTTTGAATATCTCCAGCGAAGGAGACTCCACTCCCTCTCTGGGCAACCTCTTCCAGTGCTCTGTCAGCCTCACAGTGAAGAAGTTTTTTCTCAGGTTCAGATGGAACTGCCTGTGGTTCAGTTTGTGCCCGTTGCCTCTTGTCCTGTCACTGCGCACCACGGAGAAGAGTCTGGTCCCAACCTCTCGACACCCTCCCTTCAAATACTTGTACACATTGATGAGATCGCCTCTCAGTCTTCTCTTCTCCAGGCTGAACAGGCCCAGCTCTCTCAGTCTTTCTTCATAGGAGAGGTGCTCCAGTTCCCTCATCATCTTGGTAGCCCTCCACTGGACTCTCTCCAGGAGCGCCATGTCTCTCTTGTCCTGGGGAGGCCAGAACTGGACACAGGCCTCCAGGGGAGGCCTCCCCAGGGCTGAGGAGAGGGGCAGGATCCCCTCCCTCCGCCTGCTGGCAACACTCTTCCTCACGCAGCCCAGGATCCCAATGGTCTTCTTGGCCACAAGGGCACATTGCTGGCTCACGGTCAACTTGTTGTCCACCAGGATCCCCAGGTCCTTCCCCACAGGGCTGCTTTCCAGCAGGTCAACCCCCCAGTACATACTGGTGCATGCGGTTATTCCTCCCTAGGTGCAGGACCCTGCACTTGCCTTTGTTGAACTTCAGGAGGTTCCTCTCCACGCAACTCTCCAGCCTGTCCAGGTAGAGAAAGTTCCCATGAACTTTGTTTCCATCTTACCTGGATTACGCTTGAGTCTACTTCAGTGGACTGAATTTCATCCAATTCACTTGTTTTTCACCAGCACTGTAACATCAGGAGTTTCTTGCCTGTACCTGTTGAAAATGAAATGCAAAACCAGGTGTGATCAGCATGTTGTTGGCAACAATATTCTTGGCTTTTCACAAAACATCGAGAGATCCTCAGACACAAAATAGAGAGCATAGGACTGAGGCTATCTCGACTCTGCATTAAAGCTCCAGAGGGAGGAAAACGGCTGCCTGCTCATTCCCCAGACCACAGCTGTGGATAGAAGAAGGCAGTTTTCCACTCCACCCCCTGCCTTCGCCAGGGTTTGCAGGCCAGGCAGCTGCAGTGCAGGCTGCTCTTCCCCTGAAAGCTTTCGCAGTTTCAGGCAGAAGTTGTTTGGTGAAATTAAGGGTGCATCATTTTTCTTGGGAAGAGTAAGTCTGCACAAAATATAAATGAGAATTAAACTAAATGTTACAACTTTTCTCATCACCAAAGATGCTGGGGGTGCCTTTTCCCCCCCCCTCAAAAAGTCAATTTTTTTTTTATTATTTTATGGAGACCACATTTGTCTAATGTTCATACAGTCATAGAAAAAGAAGAATTGGAAACAAAAATGTTGACTTTTAAATAGTTGACCTTTTATTCAAAATATGTTCAAATCAGAGTCACAGTGAAAAACTAAATCACATCTTCACAAAAAAATATTTAATCTGTCTTTTGTATGTATGTATAGGATGTTATGTCCTATATGATTTATATCTGAAAAACCAAACTCTCAGGAGCATCGAAAAATTATTCAGATTTTATCTACTCGAGTATGTGGGTGAGCTTTGCTAAAACGGAAGCCATGTAGGAAGTGACCCTACAGCGCACATCACTCCTGTTGAGTGGGGCAGAGAATCTTTGTTTTCACAAGAGAGTCAAGGACCCTCCTGCCGGAGTTGCCTACTGTCCCCAAACTTTGTTGCATAGGCGAGTCCAACAAAGATCATCCACGTAAATGTTTCACCACAATAAAATCTTGCATTTTGCATAAATGATACAGAGTTTGACGGACAAATCATTAGTTTAGAAACACTACCTTGAGCATTGCAACACTATCTCCTGCCTGATCAAAATCATAGACACCCAGAAAAGGTCATCTGTCCATAGTGGAAGCACTTTGGGAATAACGTATGGACTTTAGGAGTACCTAAGAAAATCATGTCACGGACCAAAACTCTGTTAGGCTAGATCTCTACAAACAGTAAAAAGACTTAATATGAAAACCAAGTAGGTTATCTACATGCAGAGAATAATGGAGGAAATATAATGCTACTAGATTTTTGTAGGATGTTTTGTAAGCTAAGGACTTTTATCCCAAGTCTAAAAGAGATGTCAGGGAAGAAGACGCCCTGGGAGGGAAGGCATAGGCAAGAAATTGTAATTAAAAACAGAAACGGAACTCTTCAAAGCTAAAACCACAAACCAAGATCAGACTGTCTAGGCAACCACAACATAAAAATTAGGTCAGAAGTTAGACCTAGTCCAACTAGCAGCACAGTGACACAGGGATAAGTCCTTCTAGCAGCAAAGTGACAGAGTAAGTTGTCACATCGCTTTTTTGTATTAGTGAATAGATAAGAAAAGAAGAAATCTGCTGTAAAGCAGCATTCTTCTGGCATTCACTCCTTCGTGCTGAGGCTTCAACCTCAATTATTTGCAACTTGACTACTTGCAACTATCCGAAGGTTAGGCAAAATTTAGATCTAGCAATCTGTTTCTTACTTTACTAAAGCTTAAAAGAACCTCAGTACTGAATTTCCTCTCTGTTAAGGCTACAAAAAATGTATTATATGTTTCTTTCACTCCATATTTCCGTTATTTTATTCATTTGCCATATTCCATTTTTTCCCGTTAAGTTATTTAAAAATCAAGTATTTGGAAGACTTAGGTTTTTTTCTATAACTGGTTCTTTGAATTCTTCTAGGTCCCAGTTTCATGTCTGGAAGGTTAACAAAGTCCAATTTGCTGCAACAAGAGAGATACAAGTCTGTGCAGTGGCACAAAAAGCCGACAGAGCAAGTGGGTGTATGGCAGCAAACAGCCATCTACCTGGTTGGTCTTCACCCCAGCTCTTAGGAAGCTGCAGTTACGGCAGCTAAATTACCCTCAGGCCATGTCAGGCCACTCAGACTGTGGAAGCCCTAGCTCTCATTCCTCTGACACGTTACCAGCTTATTTATAACTTCATCTTCCCTGTTTGTCTGAGTTTGCGGTTGAGTTGTAATAGGTTTTTACCTGACCCAAACAGACAAAGAGAAGGAGAGAAAGTGCATGTGCCTCCCCAACCAGACCAAAGCAAGGGAGCACTGTCCTATAGGAACAAAATCTGCAGCACTGGGCTTCGCCTTGCCCATTTGCAGAGTGGAGCGTGGGAAGCCCAGAAGTGTTTACCGCATGAGAAGGCGGCACTATAGGCAGTCCTGGGAGACTGCTCTCACCCAGGTCGCCCGCGGGCTGCGAGGCAGCATGCCCCCACGTTCCTGTGCTGGCCCCAGGGGACCCACAGCTACTCAGACAGCAGAGGCCAAAGGCGAGAGCCTGCCCCCACTGCACTCCAGGAGAGCATTCTTCAACACAAATAGCCAGCTAAACTACGTCCTTGTACCTGAAAGGCAGTGTGAGCTTGACTGGATAGGTAAAGGATACTAACGCAGCAGAGCGGACCGCTTCCCTCCCTGTTAGCTCCTGTACCGACCATAGTAGAGCTGACCCAAGCACCTACTGCAGTTTATTTAATTCTGAGAACATGTTTATGGGTGACCAATCATCCAGCCACATAAAACTCTTGACAGCTACTGTTTTTAGCCAATGCCCTATATGTTTTTTGGCCATGGAGCATTTCATTCTTCTTAGTACAATGGCTCCAAGTGTGTCAGAGGGTAAACAGTTGATCACAGAGCCCTGCGTGTTTTAGCCTTGTCTGCCCTAGAGTCATGTTACCACAGCACTGAACCCACGCTTGAGATTTAACTCCATGGGAGCACATGGCAAATACTCTGGAAGATATTAAGCGCAGGTGGAAAGCAGGGTGAGTGAGTGACTGAGGAGGCAACCTAGCGCTCAGTGCTGAGACTGAACCCGTGCTCCGAGCCTGCAGGCACAGCAGAGTGAATCTAGGAAGCCGTTCCCAAAGGATTTCAGAAAACTGAGCATTTCAAATCTTTCTCAGATGCTACCAGCTGCCAGCCCAGATGCAGTACCATACTAGGTAAATCTACGGCAAACAGCAGTCTCTCCACTTTAGGAGAATTACTGTGAATGACCGCTTGTTCTGGAAGTTATTGCATGAATCTATACACATACTCAACAGTTCAAAAGCGCTATCAAAAACTTTAAATACAATCAATTAAGTGTCTTGCCATTGCCAAAGACATTTCACTTTGAACGTTAAAAAGATACCTAATACTATACGGCCTAAAGAGGGACTTCTTAAAATGAGGAGTGAAAAAAATTTTCCAAAACTCGAGCCAGAGGCTCTAGTTATAAAACTGCAGGCTTCTCTGTAACATTCCAGTCTCTTTGATACAAAATACAAGACACATTCATAAAATCCATTTTTATTTTGATAAAATACTTATAAATATCAAAGCTCTGGATCAACTCCACTGTTTTCAATGTGTAAAAACACCTGAAATTCTTGCTTCTGATACTAAGTAGTAGGCTTATTATTTCTCCTCTTCTCAGGCTAACAAACTTTATAAACTTCATTCAACTTGTAAACAATTTGTTCATGTTCTGCAGCTACTTACATGACAGGAAATATAGCAGATGCCACACTAAATCTTAAAAAAGGGGTGTGAAAATACACAACACACTCGCGCTCTCTCCACGCACACTTTCCACAAGCCCTCATTCAGAAGGAACCAGGCTGAGGTCGTCTCAGCTGGATTCTTCTCCCTGTGCTGGAAAACAAAAAAGTGCCTGCAGGTTTTTCCCCTGTGGTTAATACTAGTACTTGGTGCTGCCAAATGCCTTTTATTTCTCCCTTGACCTATTTGTGCTTGTTCCTTCAGAAAACATTCTTAAGGCGGGGAGAGGCCTTGCAGCAATACTAGTTATATTCTGGGGAGAAGAGGACAAAAATATCCACCTATCTTAAACTAAGCTAAAATATCTATGTCTCTATGTCTATTTGGTTATAAAAATGAATATAAAGTCAATCCAGTTTGTGATTTCCCTCGCATTTGTCCATCTAAGGTCAAAAGGCCTGTTGAGGCAAGAGGCACAGCCTATAAAACCTGTGAAAGAGCAAATTCATAAAGCTCAATAGTAGAAAATTAGTTTAGTCAGAAGTGCTACAGAAGCTGGTGGTACTGGCTGCCCTTGAAATCTCTAGTTGCCTCTCTCAGCTATCTTTGGCTTTCACTACGTAGTTCTCCGTCTGAGGGTAATCTAATCCTATACTAACTATATCCTATGGCAAGTTCATTCAAAATAACAAAAATAAATTTGGCATAAAACAATTATTACATTCAAATAACAAAAATTCCTGAGAGAAACACAAGCTCAAGTCAATTCATAAAGATAGTCATTTCAAGGTATTGCTATTAAGGTTGATCTTTTATTAGATATTGACTGGATTATGATCTTTGTCTGAATGCTATCTTTGGTCTTGGAATATTAAAAGTGCAGCTCCTTGGGGTCACCTATGCTGACAGCAAAGCTTTAGCAGGTTTCCCAGGAAGCGTTGCATGCCAAAGCAAGGCTGTTTTCCACTGCCAGATGTGAGGTGGGCGATGTGTGTCTCACACCGCAGCGTGCAATGTGCCTAGTATGAAACAGGCTAGAGCAAGAGTTATCCCTCCCCTCTCAGCACTCGTAAGTGGTAGGACTACCATGCTTGCTACAGGGATCTAATAGTCCACAGACTACATATAGTCCAGTACTATAATATGTAGTCCCTTATCGTTCACTGAATGCAACAGACTGGATTTTGGCAGGTACCAGCAGATCCCTCTCTGCCCTTCCACCTTGCTTTTGCAAGTTTTGGGACAATTTCATCACTCTATGTGGTGGAATTTAGGAATACTTCATCCACCTGACATGATCCTACAATATACACAGCCCTTACTATCGCCTTTTTTTTCATTCAGTCAGTACATTATCACTGCTACGAAGTAGTGGGAACAAAAGGATCCTTTCAGATGTCTATCATACATAGACATCTGTATTACATCTATCTAGCTTACTGATGTAAATGCTGTTATTTGTCGCTGCTTTTTGCAGAAAGGTTAGCATGATATCCCAGAGGTCAGTGATGAAATCATGTCAGCCTTGAAATACGTTTTCCTTAAGAACTACCATGCAAAGGCTCACGTAGAGGCTGTATCTTATGTTAGAGACCAGAAGCGTAGTCCCACAGTACCCTTTACTGCCATTAACATCAGGGATCCTCTTCACTAATCTAGTGGCAAATTCTGGACAACTGCTTCACCGTTTCTGACCCTTAAGATTAGCACTGCACTCTGTGCATGTAACACTAACATCTCAACACGCTCATACCAGTGCACTCAAAAACATTTGGACCAGTTAACACTGATGAAATGCAACAACTCAGGACATATTTGTCTGTGAGAAATGACTGCATGGTAACCAATAACAAAGTAACACCTATTTGTTATAACAACTCACAAAAAAAAAAAAACACAAAGTATATTAACTATTAAAATTAATTCAGCCTCCTAAATGGTTTCAGAGGTGGCCTATTCTTGCTTTATTCCTTTAATTCCTTCTGACTTCTCGTCCCTTTAAAGGCTGGGGAGGCCGGTAGTTTCTCAGCAAACAGCAGGCTACCTCATCCTCAGCAGTGCTCAGGAGGCTGCGGAATTTGGCTAGCTGCAAATAAAGAGAGATACAAGGTTCAGCGGAGAACCATCATGCTCATACTAATGAAAAACTGTGTAGTAAACATTACATATACTTTTTCACCATTTTTTTCCGCCAAGAAGGAGGCAATCATATTTTTCTATGCCATGTGTGGAATGGCAATTCTACCATTTCTGTCCTTGTAAATGAAAACCAGTGACTAACCAAAAAAAAAAACCTCCTGAAATATATATCAGCAGGAAAATTATGCAAATTTTATTCATTTCATATATTCACATTTTTGTCTTCCCTAATCTGATCTAAAAAATGAGTTTTCTATATTATTTCAGTTTGATTTTGTAGCTTGGAGACTCTGGAATATTTTGTGCCAAAAGCACAAAATTTCTTATGTGTACCTGTGTACATCCTCTAGTTCAGAGAATATATTCACAATTAACCTGGAATAATACGTGCTGTGCTGTAGAAAGCTTCTGTAATTACCATGTGGGACATATTAAATGTGTGCCCAGATCAGGAGAGACTCAGAACTTTTCCCTTACTCAGACACAGAATTGGCAGTTATCAGCCAGCATCAGTTTCCGCATAAACTTCTCTGCCTAAGCCTATCTCAGCAGAAACCCGGATCAGAACTCCATTTCTAAATCTCAGGCAATCTCAGTCTTTTCAGTATTTTGTCCCACTTCCAACATACTAATTCTATATTCTTATACTAGGTCAATATTCAACATTTGATATTTGATAGTCTATATTCTTATTTCCTTTCTACGTTACCATGGGTAGAACAGCACAAAAATCATCCTATTTAATAGTGCATTTTTGTGCAGTCATGCAGCACATTGGGAGTGTCAGGAGCTACTCAGGCAGTGTCACGCAAATGGGATATTTTCCTTCAGAAACCAAACCATTTTAAAATAAAAGTGATGCAAAGTATAAAATATCCAGATTCCCTCTCCTTTAGTCATGAGCGGAACTCCTGAAATTGTCCCATTCATTTAATCAGGGTCTCTATCTTCAGTTTCGGGTAAAGTCAGTATAAAATTTGACCACGGGGATGTTCTGTGCATAAGGTAGCGTGTGTATTTGTTACACGAATAAATACAAACACATTTCCAGTTGTTCACCATTCACAGTGCAAGGTCCCCAGAACAAAAATATCAGCTGCCGACTCCTTTTAAAATCACATTTTCATTGGCAGGACACCTGACTTTTGCATTGAAGTTGGGAAATTTCATCATTATGTCAAAGTACTTAAATAATCAAAATTAATGTCATGCTGAACTAAGAAACACATGTGATAATGATTAATTGCCTTAAGAACAAAAAAATTCAGTATTATCTTCCTCTACCCCATTCTAAAGCTAACATTCATAATTCTAAGTCACTCAAACTCCCTGTGAGTTTCTACAAGCTTAAAGTTTATTTTTAATTTCCTTCAGCCTGTAAAGAATACCAAAAAATAGGAGAAAAATGGAAAGCCTCAAAGAAATACAATCAGGAAGAATAAAATTAAATGGTCATAGTATGAATCAGAATTGTAGGCATTACTGGAATCGAACCCTATATGCATGTTCATATGACTACACTTCATTTATACTTTAATACATAAGATATACAAGATAGTGTGTGAAAAATGACTAGTGAAGAATCACTTTCTTTTGCGTCATTGCCAGTGCGGTATCCTTTTGTTATACATGGATGTTTGCATTCAACATTTCATATTATAGAACATATTAACTATAGTTTAGCCCAAATAAAAACCTTTAACTCAGAACAACGGCTTGTCTTTGGGAAGTTCAGTACAAATTTTGCACCCTAAGTACATAGCCCGACTGGGGGGTCTGGGGAAGAGACATAGAGGAAAAAAATGGAAGCGTTGTGTGAATACTTGACTTAAAATCATGTTACAAATGGCATTAGAGGTCTCCTGACTAACTAGCATCCCTCCCACGCAGTGACTATCGTCAACCACCCTTTGTGCAAAGACTGAGGTCATCGTTTCTGCTGAGTACGTGACTTATGGCATCTAATTTTACTGAGCTATTTGTAATATCGACCATAAATTAGACAAATGCTGAGGTGAAAAGTTCTTGAGGTTTACAGCGTGCCCAGCATATTGATGACATATATTACAGGTAAACTACTTATCATCTTCCGAAATTAGAAGCTATAATCTTCAGCACCTCCATTGGGAAAAATTCTTTATATCTAAAGTGATGAGCCCACTGGATGTCACTGTTGCACCACCAACACGCAGCAAGAAGCTTCACTGAACAAGAAATGAGCGGTATCATACTTCTCCTAAGAAAGCCTATCATGAAAAACAACATATTACACTAATATTTGCTAGTCATTAATCTAGTAAAGTCACCGAGGCGTACGCATCTGGAATGTGAGAAATTTACTGTCGACCTGCCAAATTAGAATGCCAGAGAATAGGTGCGAGCAAGATCAGAAATAACCAAACTGAGTAGAATTCAAACATTTCTTAGCATCACCAGAGTTGCAAAAATAACCTTTGTTTCCATAAGGGTTTTGTCGGCTTTTTGACTTTTTTTTTTTTTTTAGACCATGCAGATTCTTTTTAAAACACGGCTAATAAATTGTTGTTATACAAAGAAAGGCAACAAGAAGTCATGGCAAATTTCATAGACACGCTTTGTCCTTTGAAAATTTGATAAGGTAAGCAGTGGCATGTTTTGCAAATCTATATACTTTCGGGTGGTATTCACAATTTGGAGTTTTACAAAAGCGACATTTTTAGAGCAATGAAGGATTAAAACATACCTGTTCAGAACAAACACTTATAGGCTCTCTCAGAACAATCCAGATGACACTTTCAAGAAGAGGTGGAACAGTGAGAGAGCCAAAATATGTCCAGTAGTCCAGGGATTTGGGAAGCAGACAGCTAGGATCAAAGTTTGTGAATAGTGCTCTTTTACCCTGGAAAGAAAAAAGCTCATTATGCTTCTAGATTAAATATATTTAGCAAATTATTTCTTACACACGTTCATTGATGCCTTATGTTCATAAAGAAGTTTTTTTAAAAAAGGTAGGGGAATATTATTTAAAAACAACAGGCCAGGAAGACAAATCATGCCAAAGGTTGCAGAGCTTGTTCAGCTATGGGGAGGGTTTGCAGCATCCTGGACGATCATAGCAGATGAGCTAGCGCCTTCAAATGAGGTCTACGCTACCTACGCTGCCTTTGCTCCTAGTATCCTTGACTAGTATCCTTCTCAGCCTGTAACTCAGCAAAACCAGGGAGAAAACCTTTGTTTTGATCAGTATGTTCCTTTTCTGTTAATAATTTTTATTTGCCAGAGATTAAGTTCTGTGAGGAACTAGCCTTCTCCTCTGACCTCTTATCATATAAAAATTGTTCTCTGCCAGCCTGTTTTTCAACTTTAACCTAACCAGAATGCTCCTGAACCGTCCCAAAGCACAGTTAGAAAGGAACAGCTACGAAACCAGGGGCTAGGGAACATGACTGCAAAGGGGAGTAGCAGCCAAGTTCCTGGAAAACAAAACAACAAAACCAACCACCAATGTCAGCGTTCTTGTAGAAGCATTCATTCACCTTGATTCTGATCGTGTCCAAGCGGTCAGTAATCTTCTTCAGCTGAGGGTTACATTCACCAATCTATTAAAAAAGAGAGACAAAAAAGAAATGCTTGAGCTCTGGAGAAAGTAAACAAAGGTAAATGACTGGAAAGCAAATGCATACCAAAATGTACTCATATAGTTTTACTTAAGTGCCTGTGAAATCTGAGTAGCTTGCGACTACGTGGAACAAATACTTATTGCGAAGAAGATGCACTCTTCCGCTGACAACAGTCATTCTGGCTGCTCACAGTGTTTACTTCAGCTACAAAAAATTCACAAACTTTACACTGCAGTGGAACTAAAGCAACTTAGTTACTTAGCAACTTTTTCATACTTTATGTGGAGAAACTTCAAGGTTTTAGGTTTACAACTGAAATCTGAACTCCTTAAAACACAGTGAGAAAGTACAGAAACATAATTCTTGTGTATCCTGAGTAGAATTAGTGTGCTAAGAAACCCCGTGAAACATGTCTTGAATCAAGGGAAACCAAGGTAAACTGGGAAGACGGAGTTACTGAAGCGTCCTTTGCAATTGCTGGATGCTGCTCGCTCACTGACTGTCCCAGAGGCAGCCACTAGCTCTCCCCAGACAACTGTGGCAGCCAGGCAGACACCGCGGGCTTGACCAAAGCCCTCTCCTTTGTCCCCAGCGCCAGGAACTCTGCCTGCTTCTTTGTTCAAAAGTCAGGGAAGCTGCTGCAAGAGTTGGACTTCATCTGAGAACAGGCGCAAGAGGCAAAGAGGAATTTTAGGGAAATTTTCCCATGTTCGTTCTTGTTTTCCTTTTCAGAAACAAACCGCTACAGAGGTATTCAAGCCAAATGGGTCTGCCCTTCTAGAGGAACCTGTTAGCCAAACACAAGTTACTGGAAACCTTACGGAGGCAGCTGAATTAAGCTCTACAGCATAGATCATATACAGGATTGCAGACTACGTAAAATGAAGATTCTTACCGCCTTTAAAATCTTCTAATCTGACACTTTTATCTTCAAGTATAGCTTTCTATACTTAAATACTTTGTGTATTAGGAAGGAAACACTGTTTTAATGCCCATATAAAACAAGTATCTCTTCAGCAGTAATTATACCAACCATCACTGTTATCCCTTTGTTTGGGCTGGTAATGCAGATTTATTAGGAGGGCTGAGATATTCTCTCCTTACCTTTAGAAATACAGCCATGACTGCCAATCCATCTGACTGACGAGCCGCCTCAACAAAACTGGAATATTTTTCCGAGTTCCAGTGAACGACGTGAAGCTGAAAACTGCTGAACTGGAACAGAAACAAATTAACACTACAGCTGTACCAGGGTCAATTTTCTACTTCGCTTGCTTGTACTCAGAGCCATTCAATTTTCTAACTGCAAATACTTATTGAAATCAGTAAACATATAATACATACAACTGCCAAAAAAGCACTGCCAATGGCTGGGATTATAGTCAGACTGGATTTGGCATAATTATGCCCGTACTAATTCAGAACCTCTTGTCTTCTATAAGCCTCTACTAGTGAAAGCCAAAATTTAGCAGCAATCAGCACACCACAGTGCCTGGGGAACTGCTGTTGGCTCCCCAGCATTTTGAACAGAGAAGCTAAGACAAGCTATCCCACGTCTGCCTATCTAAAGCCAGGATTTTACATCCATTTTTAGTACAGATGATTAAAAAAAGTGGTTGAAAAGCATGAAGATGCCATTAGTATTCTGCCCCTCTTTTTCCTTAATCAAATCTCGAGCTTTCAATAACATTAATCAGCCACATAGATAGCTACAAAAAGGACAGAGGAACACACATTAAACTTTTACTGACCCCTTTTCCCTTGTTTATTATAAGCTGAATATCAAAATGCCATCTTTGATACTTTCCAAATGTCTTTTTTCTATGATTACTAGTACTTAGGCACTTAGAAGTGGCTTGATTACCTAAGGTGCTGAGCATTTGCATTTCCAACATATAATATTCTGGAACTGTCCTGTGGTAGTTGCTTAAGCAGCTCAAAGACACCTTGACCATATGAAATATAATTGCTTGAACACTCAAAAAAAAGGTATAAAGTCTGGAAGAACCACTCAGTCCTAAGACTGCTACCATCTGGCCAGGAAGAGAAAGAAAAAGGTAGTGATCTCTGCCCCCACACCACTTCAGTTCCTCTTACTGAGCGAGGGTGCCTAAGTCGTGCCGACTCCTTGGGGGGAGCTCCCGGTTCCCGGGAAGGGCACGGTGCCAGCCAGGGTGCCCCAGCCTCCAGCAGGGCGCCGACCGCCTGGCCGAAGAGACCACCAACACTCATAGCGTGCTTCAGACTAAGCGCTTTACAATTACTCCCACAAATCCCCAGTGGATTAGCAAATCTTACTATCCATAGTTTTTAGATAAGGAAATAAGATAAGTAGGGCACAGGATTAGTTTTTCTAAAATTGCTGTCCTTCAGGAATCCTGAAGAAAAGTCTTCTGCTTGGAATACAGCACCTGGAGAGCCCTAGAGTAAAGGGCAATTTAAGAAAATTGGAACTTGCTTTAAACAATTCGTATGGGAGGCAACATAGCTACCGGGCTCTAGGAGTGCAAAGATTTTGATCCTAAATCTCAACGCTTGCCTAATTTCCATGAGCTCCGAGTTTCCATATCTGTCATGTGGTGCTGATACTTGGTGTTACAGGGTATAACCGACATTTGTTAAACACCTGGGCTCTAAACTGCTGAGACATTACTTTCGGCAAGCAAGGACTCCCACTGAAATCAATAATAATACACAGATGCTCACAATCAAACGTGCTGGATCACAGCTTCAGAGATCCTTGAAGGAAAGTTGCTAAAAGCATTATTAATTCAACCAGGAGGAGAATACAGGACTTCGTAACTCACTGTCCAGCCCAGTAAGCCACTCTACGGTGTGCACTTGCACACGCATTACTGTACCGGAGCTCACAGCGCCTGCACGGCTCGTCGTTACAGGTAAACAGAAGCTACATGGAACAACTTTTGAACGATTACATTTTCACATACACAAAAAGGAAACGAATACTCTCAGTCGGAATTGACTTTATTGTGGATTTTTAAAAAGCAAAAAAACAACAAAGAACAAAAAGTAAAATTCCCACAACTAAATAAAGCTCTTGCCCTCCCCCATAACTTTGACCCCCAAAAAAACCAAGCAAAAAAAAAAAAAAAACAAAAACCAAAAAACAAGAAACAAAAACCCCAAAGCAAACAAAGCTGTGAAACATTTTTGGGTACAGCCCCCATTCTCAATGGCTTGCGACTTCTCTTTTAAGGAATATATCCCGTCTTACCACCGCTCTGTCACTGCAGCTTGTGAAGAGACCTTGATCAGACCATTCGTTGTCACAAAGAATGGAGCCATGGATCCCTTCTGCTTCCTGGTGGTTTTAGGGGGCTGCACCTTGCAGTCTTCTTTACCTGTAAACTACTTCTTTCTTCGTTTTGGTAGATGTTTTTTCTTCAAATCTTACACATCTTGCTCATGAAGGTGAGCACTGAAACCATCTTCGTATCTCCTTCTGAGGTATTTTCTTTTGTGAGAACAGTGCTCAGAAGCCTTGATCTTAATTCTGGGTTCCTTATCCCAAAACCAATGTGACATCTAGAGGGCTTCTTGTGGAAGGTTACCAAACCAACAGGTAACGGAAAGGTTTTTAGACTGGCTAGAAATTCAGAGATATTTTCTCCTTCCATTTGGTTTCTTAGGTGGGAAACATATATATTTTTTCTCAGCTAGAAATTTGGTTTTGGTACTTAATGGTTTTAAAGCACCTCTATTAATTCTTTATATTCCATCTCACCTGGTTCCTGTGGAAAACATAAGCCTTTAAACACTGCAAATGTCACTTTTCCCCATTAGTTTTAGAAAACTGATTTTTTTTTTTCTGGCCACTCTCTCTTATAGCATGTCCAATAAAATCTGATCACATCACTGTGCACACATTTTAATTTTTTCCTCTTTAAATAGGTCTTTTATTTTTCCATTCAGATTTATCTTTATACTTTTTCCCTTCTTTTTAACCCCCAAAAACCTGAGCTATGGGTTGTTAAAGCTCTTAGTCTCATCAAAATAGTCCATGTTCCTTCCAGTGGCAAAGAGGAAACGTACTGTCGGACTGCCTGCTTTTTACTGTAGACTATTCAAATGCACCGAACGAGCAAGAGCAAAAGTAAACCCTCCGTGCCAGAAGCAGATGGTGCATTTCTCCTGCGTGACACCCTGCCTCGACTGCAACACAGTACAGCGGCTGCCTTCCGGCACAGACAGCGCAGACCCCACAGATTTTAAGGTGCAGTTCTCAAAATCATGACCACCACATTGCTCAATGCGCCACAAGATATAATACTCCTCCGTCTTTCACAAGCATTAGACTGCACAAGCCTCAGGTCAACTAATTCTGTGCTGTGTAACTGAAGCTGACTTTGAAAATGCTCTCCAAGGAACAGATAGTGAAAGACAAAGATTAAAATAACTCTTGAACATTAAATCTCTGAATATCAAGTGTTTGTCTTCTGTACTCCTTTTTTTAATCCTCTCCAAAGCTTTCAAACAGGTTCTCCTTTGAGAAAGGACCAGACATGAAACACTTCAGCAAGTTTGCTTGTCTTGTGGTAAAATGGGGGGAAGAAGGAAAAGTGCGGAGAGAGGGGGCAAAATAATTCTTACAGTAGAAAACTAGTCACAACCTTAAACCCACAGGTAACTCCGAGCAAGGCCTTACCTCTGCTGCGTACTTCATGCCGTCCACAGCGTGCTCGGAGCCAGCCTCATCGCTGGAGCCCCAGTGGAAGTGAATCTGGCGCAGGCGGTACGTCCCACTGAGCGGTCCCCCCGTCAGCACTAGAAATCAAAACACACAAAAAGGCTTAACCACAGGAACGTACTTCTATTACCGAATCCTCTACGCGTACACCAGACTTCCACCTACAAACCTTTCCCTAATTCTTTGCAAAAGATATCTCAATGCACTCTCATTTCTTTCAAGTGCTTTAGAAATTCCTGCTTGTCAAGAATGACTTTCAAAGCTGCAGTTATGGGAAGACTGGCAGGTTAATGCCTGCTAAAGGATAGCCCCAGCTTTTGTCTTGCTGTGGGACAGATATTTCTCAGAAGATGGGAAAATATTTTGCAAATATGTTCTCTTGAATGCATTTGAAAGGATCACTGGGAAATTAAGCTTAAAGAGTATTTTATGAATAGTTATGAGTAAGGTTTTATGAATAAAGGGGAGGATCAGAAAAATGTAATGTGAACGGAATTTTTTTCTCCTATTTGAAATCTGGAGGAAAGCAATGTCGCTGGAGTTAAAAAAAAAATTCAGAATACTTTCCTTCATTTGCAACCAGATCCAGTCACAGCACATCAAAGACTGAGAAACAGGAGTAAATACTAACATAAGTAAAATGAAATCAGTACTGTGTCCTCTGTTGTACAAGTGCAATATTAGTGAAGTTTAATTAGCCATTTATTTAAATTTAACACCCATACAGATGGGCTTTTTATTGTTTTGCTTTCATAAGCGTTCATCTTTCTCTAAGCAGAGCTGGACCCAAACCATCTCTGTCAAGTCTGTTTAGTGACTTGAATGTGAATCACCTACATTTCAAGAATACTCCTTCTTCACTGCAAAAAAAAAAAATCACCCCATTCTCCTGTTCCATATCTCTTCTGACGATTTTGGGACTACTCTGGGCAGTTTTATTAGCTCATTACAGAGGTCTTCAGGAGGAAGGACAAATGGGTTTTAATTTAAGAGCACCTGAAAGAAGAATGCTCTTTTTTCTCCCTTCTAGGTTTATACAAAACTTAGACTTTGTTAGGAGCAAAACACCATCAAACAATGGTAAAAGAAGAAATTCTTCAGTTGCCTTTCTGCTAAAAAAAGTATCCTGTCTAACAAACAGAAACTGTAACTGTTTATCTGTGGGGAAAAATATTTGACCTACTTAAAACTTCACCTCAAAAAGGTGCTTTTACAGAGCCCATACACGTAGTGAACAAAGGGGACGGGGAGGTGGCGCTACCAAACAAATTCCTTCTTTCAGGGACTGAAAACTCGGAAGCAAATGATCTGAACAGTGCGCAGAGATCAGCGCTCCAGCCGGCTTAGGGAAAACCACAAGGGCGAAACGTATCAGCCTTCAGTGAATCACTTCTGCTGAATAATGTGACAAATGGCCTGATGACGCACTTGTGTCACATCGCACAGCGATGACGACAACCTTCCCTTCCAACTGTAATTAAGGACAAAGTTAATCAGAAGATTTTCACAGCAAGTGTCAGTCTCTCAAAGTTTGAAAAGAGTTGCATGAAGAGGCCTTTGAAACATTAACGGGGCAATTTCGCAGAATGGATCTAATGTGGTACCAAAGAGGATAAACAGAATTACACAAACAAACACGATCCTGACAGCCTAATTTCAATGCTGGGCAAAGTAAAAAAATACTTTATATGGAATTCAGTTACTAATGAGTTAAAAGATGACACCGTGTTTAGTACCAATAATTTGATGTTTTTCATAAAACCATCATAGGGCAGGAGTGTTTGCTTCGCAGGGATACCCCAGAGACCAAATTTTGGCCCTAGAAAATTCAGTGTATTTTGATCAATGACCTGAAAGAAGACAAAAATATTACGGATAAACTTTGTCGGGAAGAATATTAAGGGAAACAGCAAATAACTAAGTTTATGGATATAGAAGGATTTGGATTTTTTGATAAGCAAGGTATGATTCCGGCCAAAATGTAAAGAAGATATATGCTGTCTCCTGAAAGAGACTGAGGATTACAGCTCTTTAATTAGCTGATCATCAGCTAGCAGTGCTTTGCAGTGACAGGGAAAATATCCTTGGGCATACAGACTGAGGAAAGCAGTGGGAAGAGGCTCTCCTTACCCCTGCTTTGGTACCAGTGTAAGCCTACAGAAAGACTACGTTCAGTTCCTGTCACCTCATGGAAGGAGTTAGAAAGTGGAATTGATTCTTGATGTATTCACGTTCATATTTATTTCTTTAAAACAGGAAAGGAGTTTAAAGGCCAAGCTGATCAAAGTCCCACCAGAAATAAAGCGTGATTTCCACTTTTTAGTTGTGAGGGTAATTAACAATTAGAATAACTTACCAAAGGCTGTGGTAGATTCATCACCGCTGGAAATTTTGAAATCAAGATTGTGTATTTTTCTAATAGATGTGCTTTAGTTCACCCACACCTACTAGACTTGAAGCAGAAATTAACTCTGGAAGTCCTGCGGTCTCTGACACTCATGAGGTCAGACTAGATCACTGACGGTCAGCTCTTGGCTTTCAGGCAACATCCAAATGTTGCTTTTATCAACAGGAAATTTAAGAGTTAAATGAAGAGTCTCTGGGAAAGCAAAATATGATGTTGACTCCATCTACTCCATCTCTCCCTGTTGCCACTGTAAGCCAAAAATATTACTGATAAAGTTTGTCCGTGGCAAATACTAAGGGAAATAGCGAACAATTAAGTTTAGGGATACAGAAGGATTTGGATTTTTTGGTAAGTAAGGTATGATTCTGGCCAAAATGTAAGCTGTGCGTGAGTACCTGAAGAACCTAGGCCATACACAGAAGATACGGAGTCTCCTGAAGGAGACTGGGGATTACAACGCTTTAATAATTCTGGGGACTAACGGACAGCGTGATCACAAATTAGCCCTCTTCCGGCTTTGACATTTGTGAATGTATTATCTGGGCTTGGATCCTCACTTATGCCTAATGCAAGCACAGAAGGATTTTGCTTGAAGAAACTGCGCTCCTACAGTTTCAGGGAAGGTATGCAAGCTACCGTCCCAGAGAACTAATTAAAGATGAAGGCACTAACATTACAGAGACTATGCTAAACCACAGAACTTCTAAATAAGAATTACTGCTTGCAAAAAGGGAACCTGTGCACGCCTATAAAAGAGCGGGACAATGACACTTTCCAGAGAAGATAAGGGATCACTTGGGATACATTTCATTTGTTCTGTACTGGCTCTTTCCTGACATAACAAGTCCGGGCATGGATTATAAAGAGGAAAAAAATATATAACCAAACCTGCAACTAAAGTCAGATAAGAGACTTGAGCGATTCAGTTGGAATGAACCTGTAATGAGACACAAAGGATTCATCTGCAGTGAGAGACAGCAGCATTTGAGAAATTGTATAACAACACTGTTCAAACAGGGGTGCTGATGCTGTCTAGCTAGTTGGGGTGGATCAAACCATCCGTGAGAAAAGGGAATCCTAGAGCTTTCTGACAACCACAACCTAGTACTTCTGTCGCAATATGTTCCCAAATTGTAACATGCTGAAAGACGGGGAGAAAAAAAGGGAATCTCTCATCCAGAGGACCAAAGCCTCACTGTTCATGAGAAGTCGTGTGTCTGGCAGCGGGGCATGCCCAGGCTGTACTCTATTCAAGAAATGGAGAAAGAAAATACGGAGCAATATGAAAGGAACAAACCTGATTTGTTTACGGTGTCATCGAATTCGACGCTGGTGGAATGGCCGTTGTTAAGGATGATTTTAGCAGAAGCTGGATCGTAATTGGGATTTAGAGGACGGAGAGAGGGATCATACTTGGTTTCCTCAGTTTTGATGTCGATGGGGGACTGGCGGTCTCCATTAGCGACAGGAAAAACCTCCTTCCAGTGGGCAGGCCCTGCAAGGCATTGGAGGAGAAGTCTGAATCGATGGCAGTGCTGTGCTTCATAAGAAAGAAGACTCGGCTTCAAACGTTCTTGTTTACATTTTTGTCTAACCCAGAACAAGTGCATTCAGAAAATCGCAAACCAAAATAGTCAGCTGCTTCTGCTGCACTGCCTTGCAACGGCAGCTCTCAGGGCCCCTTCTAGATACACCTGCTGGGTATGATGCATCTGGCTGTATTTGGCCAGTCTACCTGCAGTAGACAGATATTTCATTCTACATAGTTAACACTCAGTTACGCAACACACATATCCAACAAATCCTCATCCATATTAAGCATCCTATATCAAACAGACACTGCGCCCCAATACATTTTTGGTAAAAGGCATTCCATTTTTGCCTACTATAGTGGTTTACCTCTCATATGGTTTACCTGTTATCTATCCAAAGTCCCTCCCTTAAGAGCTTTTTATATAGTAATCACTGGCTGCAGAAGATCTAACAACAACACATCTGCCACGGACTGTGCTGAATCAGACTGGGGGAATGCCAAAAAAAAAATCCAGCAGTGTTATGGGGAATCTGCAACCTGAGCATCGCTGCAGCGCGCGCGCACACACACACACACACACACACAGCTGCCAGTCAGCAAAGAACAGGAACACTTACGACAGGAATCCCTGCCTCAGTCTCTGCTTCCTACCATCTCCTGGTGATAAATGACAGCAGATGTTGCAAAGAGAGATTTGCTCCACCATTTACCCAAGTTAGTGAGAAATTAAAAAACTGAAGAAGCCGTTAATCTACACTATTGATCTCAAGCTTAATCTTTCTCTCTCTATGCATCCCAAAATACAAAGCGGCAACTAAAACTGCTAAAAAGCATTATCTCTGTAAATCAGCAACGTGGAAATGAGAAAAGGGGCAACTGTCATTCCGCAGTAGTAAGAAATATTTCGCAGATAAGACTACATATCTCACATATCTCACCTACAAAACATAAGAGAGCTGTCGGTAAGAATACATGTAATTTTTGAATCTTATTTGAATAAAAATCAGTCTGGAAAGAGTCCAGAGAAGAAAAGTAGGAATGGTATTTGTTTGGGGAATACTTCCTATAAGGTTAAGGTAGTAAACAATTTAGTCTAGAAGAAAGAAAGAAAGTGAAAGTATGCAGGGCTGATGAACTGTCAGTATTATTAACAACACAGTATTTTTTTTCTCCAGACTTCTCATTGGTAAGAAGCATAGTAATCTGCATAATAAGGAGAGACTAGACATTAGAAAAACTTAAACACGAGCATCAGAAGCTGAACTTATAAAATCTGCATAACTGGAAATCCTCGTAATTCCCTGTACTGAGGGAAATTGATCTCAGTTTTAGATCAGCAAGCTGATTTGCATCTTTTTGGGTAGCTTAGTATTTAAACATGCCAATGAAAAAGGATTAGAATGGAGTACTCCATGCCCAACATCAAAAGGCATCATTTTTCAACCCTCAACTTCAACAGAACTGAACCCAGCTCAGAAATTCGCAAGTGCTAAAATAGCCAAGTGCCACAATGAGAAATCAGGAAGGCTGCCCTTGGGGCTGGGGGAGAGCAGCTGCAGAGCCTTCTTGGCAGTCTGGCAGTCTTCACAGAACCACAGAATGGTGGAGGTTGGGAGGGACCTCTGGAGATCATCTAGTCCAACGTCCCTGCTCAAGCAGGCTCCTCTAGAGCACATGGCACAGGACTGTGTCCAGACCCAAGGAAGCAGATTCCACAACCTCCCTGGGCAACCTGTTCCAGTGCTCTGTCACCCTCACAGTCAAGAAGTTTTTCTTCATGTTCAGATGGAACTGCCTGTGGTTCAGTTTCTGCCCGTTGCCTCTTGTCCTGTTGCTGGGCACCACAGAGAAGAGTCTGGCCCCTCCTGTTTGTATCCTCCCTTCAGGTATTTATACATATTGATGAGATCCCCCCTCAGTCTTCTCTTCTCCAGGCTGAACAAGCCCAGCTCTCTCAGTCTTTCTTCATAGTAGAGATGCTCCAGTCCCCTCATCATCTTGGTAGCCCTCTGCTGGACTCTCTCCAGGAGTGCCATGTCTCTCTTGTCCTGGGGAGCCCAGAAC